TTCAATTAGTGCTGCGCTCAAAAATTATTTAAAAATAATTTTCCAAACAGCGCTGCACAAAATCACCCACTACATTGGCTGTCTGGCGGGCGTTTATTTTCTTTCAGCTTCATACGCATGAAGTTCGCATTGACAGTGACGACCGCAGTTTTGTTTACACGCTTTTATGCTTTTTTAAGTTAAAAGAACTTATATACGTACAACGCATTCAATATTTMTCATACAAATAAACAAATAGCTAAATTATTGATATCATTCTTTAACAAATATGTAGTATTCGTAAATGTGTTTCTTRTTGTTTTTGTTTTGTCAGTATAGTGTACGCTTAAATTTAATAGTTTTTGCAAAATCTTTAGTTGGTTATCAAGTCGCCAAGACTTTCTTTGAGWGATTGGAAAATTTGCAATTGCTGTTCCGGTTTCAAGTTATAAATCTGACAGAGAGAATTGAAAAATTTTCATAAATTTCATTATTCAAAAAATAATTTAAAGAAACATGTAACTCACCTGTGTCAATATCTTGGATGGTGCTGGCGTTCTTATAAAACTGGAAATGTAAACATTCACAAATGTGGCCATTAAGAATTGGCAATCGAAACGATCCATAATACCGCCATGACCGGGTATCATATCACCAAAGTCCTGTGGAATAAAAGCGAAGCAGAATAACAATAAAAAAAGAAAGACATACATCCTTCACTGGTGCATTTCTTATAGCACAAAAGGGTTTTTCTTTGAGCTCCCATGGACCGATCCTCTGTTGGCTACACGGGTGGAGTGGCGGCGCAGTGCGCGAATTAGGTGCAGGTTACACAGCCGTAGAGGCTAAGGTCGCGGTAGTGCGTTGGCAACATGGTGTCACGTAACTTGTGCTTCACGTCCTGTGTGTCTTTAGGACTGAGCAGGACTTAAGATGGCTCAATCCATTGCATGTATTTCACYTGAATGAGTTGGAGTTTGGATAGTCTTTTGGCGCAAACGCATCAAAAAATTTCGTCGGGCCCGGATTGGACTTAATGCCAGCACGAGGACACGGAGCAACCCTGCTTCAAGGCGCTGCTCCCGTGGCGACTAAGTCTTACCGGTCTAAACGGGTATAGATCTCCGAAGCATAAAAKGATGTACATATGTATGTATATGTGGTCTGATCTGAAAAATTTCTGCGAAAATTGTAGAGGTGTCCGGGGGAATAATTTATGCGAAATTTCGTGAACATAACTCGTAACAAAAAAAGTTTTGCATACAAAAACTTGATTTTGATCMGTCAGTTTGTATGGCAGCTATATGCTATAATGGTCCGATAACGGTTATTTTGACAAATAACAGTTTCTTGGGGAGAACAGGACATGTGCAAAATTTCAGATATATATCTCAAAAACTCAAAAGATTATATAAATTTTAAATCTTCCAAAAGCGGACAGTGGAGAGACCAGTATTTCTAACCTGTTAATGGGGCCTTCCGCTTAATAGAGCTTTCACTGTTCCCTTCTGAGTGTCATGAGTCAAACATCATGGTAAACTCAATAAGGTGTGAAAATAAAAAGTACACCATTTACATGCAATTACCTTTATTTTAAATGCACGCTTAAAKCCGGAAGCGAAGAAACCGCCAAACGGCCCAATAATTGAGCTGAACAAACTCAATGCAACCGAATGCCATACAAATGGATACATACTAAGCGACTTGCCGATGCCAAACTGCAATTAGAGTGTAAAATAAAGTATTTATAGGTGTAAGTATTGAGCATTGTTGTGAACCAAGATTGCTAACTCACCACACTTAGGCTGTAATCTTGCTTCGTAAACAAATAACTTGGCTCACAAGCCATTGTCATGCGGCCCAATTCCTCTGAATACAGTATTGGGCATACAAAATATTGATAATTGCAGAGAATGTAGGAAAAGATAATGCCAAAGATAACGGTCGCAAAACCACCACCAATAAATCCTTCCCATGTCTTTTTCGGACTTAATTTAATTAGTGGAGTACGACCGAAGAAGAAGCCAAACATGTAGGCCATTACATCGTTGCAAACAATCATCGATACGGGCACAATGAACCAAATGAGACCTGAAAAGGGAACGTAAACATTTTGAAAATTAAAATAATTGGAAGAATGTGAATAAATTGTTACCAAAATATAAAACAAAAAAGGGAGTTATGTAAAAATAATATAAAATTTAAGAAATGGTAATCCCTAGACAGTTGTTGTTGTAGTTGTAGCATACGAAAAAATTCTTTAAATAATTTTGAGAACTGTTGCCGCATTGACAGCTCTTTGCGGGTTAGGGTTTTGATAAAAAAAAAAATTCAAAAATTTACGTTTTAGTAAAAGTGCCAATAAAATAACAGCATTTGTATAATTTTTAATAAAATGACTGCCTAATTTAATCGATTGCTAAAAATATCAGGAAATATAAATATCTTAATACAAAAAATATTTACTTTTTTGATTACAAACATTTKTTTTATGAGTCTCTCTGAGTCTTTGATAAAAACGCAACGAATTAAGTATTCAATTTAAGCTCATAATTACAAGTAAAGCGGAAAAGCACTGCCATGCAAGACTTATTAATATAAACAGCTATTAATCGTGGCGTTGCGCTAATAGTATCATTAAATGTTATCTAAATGTATAATTACAATTCAATAATATGAAAAAACAAGAAAAAAAGTTAGCTTTGGCTGCACTAAAATAAATATACCTTTTACAGCGGCATTTGTCAAAAAGGAAGAAARATCTTTAATTAGATTTTAAATGATTAGTACAGCTATATGCTATAATAGTGCAATCTGGCAAATAATATGTTCGAAGATCATAGCGCTGACTCAGATAATTATCTACATATGTCGATTTTCATGAATATATATTGTGAAATAAAAAAGTTTTCCACACAAAAATTTTATTTAAATCGGTCTGTTTGTAYGTCAGCTATATGCTAAAGTAGCCCGATATTGGCGATTCCGATAAATGAGTAGCTTCTTGGGAAGAAAAAGATGTGGGTAAAATTTCAGATTGATATCTCAAAAACTGAGCGACAAGTTCGCGTATATACATAACTAAATTGATTCAGCTCGTCATTTATATATTCTTCTTTTCTGTCGTAGACAGCGCTCACGGGGTTAAATCAGTGCATTTATATGATTTATACWTTATAAGGTCTCCGAAATTTCCTACTGCGTGTTTCAAACTTCCTGGCAAACTTAATTTACTCCGTTCAGGTTATAATAATGATAATAAATATACTAAAAAAAATTGCAAATACTCTTATCAAAGCAAACATGCACACTTACCTTCGAAAATATTCTGTATGATCAAATAACTTTGTGTGACCACAATCAASAGCGAGACGTGTGTCCAAGCGAATAGGCTGAACTGCTTCATATAATACTTTTTCACCAGCGACAACACAAACCAGACAAAGCCAATGCAATACAATGCAAACGATAGGAAACGATGATAGGTCACCAAGAATTTCAAATATTCCTGCATCACGTGATTGTTATTATGTGTCATAGTTRTAGTTGTAGTTGCACAAATGTGTTATCGCAAATATAAAAATAGAAAATATTTTTAGTTTAAAAGTTTGTTTTTATTTATTTTTTTTTATGACAAACGCCAACGCTTACCACACGGTTAATAACTACGCCAAAATAGTCCACTAAATTTTCGCCGTAGAAGAAGTAATTCGATGTCAGCAGGAAATACCAGGACAAACTACGGAACCAGGGTAGACCGTGTATGCGATAGACTTGATAACCAATGGAAATGATTTCTTGGAAACACTTGACTTGTACCAGCAGAGTCTAAATGAAAATTTAAAACGCAAAGCATATTTTTATAGTAACAATATAATATCAATAACTATTTAATATAAATATTTGAGCAAATTATTACCGTTATCATAAGCGCCAGTGGACCGCCGTATATGATTAGTGCAAAACCGCATATCATAATCCAAGTGAAGATGCCACGAATCACATAATTCTTCCATCTGAAGTGGCGAAAAAAAAGTGGAAAATGTTGTTGTATTGTACATAAATAGACCGCTAGCTATTAAAATATCAATAATATATGCGAAAACAAACAAAAGCAAACATATGTATATAYATAGCTGTGKCTGTTTTTTTAACGTGTGTAATARCGTGTGTTCAAACGATTGCATGAGAAATATTTTTTACTTTTTTCTAATATTCACTGCAAGCAAAGCAAGCTGATATGTGCCAGCTGTTGTTATTTTTTTGTTTATTGCGTTTCCGAAGCATATAATTACCTATCCGGTAGATCTTTTAAGGCTGAATCTAAAATTTCCGGTGTCTTATCGGTGCCTTGTGGAAGGGTTTTCGATAGCTCATCAACGAATTTATCCTCCGGCAATTTTTCCTCCTCTGAATCGACCTGGAGTAAATGCAAAAAAATATGCTTAAATTAGTTTATTTATCTCACAGCAAATGTAAATTGTTTAATTTTGAATAAAAACAAGCTTTAATGCCCTTCACAGGTGTATTTCGTTTACCATAAAAGAGTATAAAAACATTTTTAACTTTTTAAAAAGTTTTCMWTACAAGTATATGATTTTGATATCGGCGATTTCYACAAATGAGCAGTTTATGACAGAAAAGGACGTGTGCAGAATTTCAGATSGATACTTCAAAAACTGAGGGACTAGTTCGCTTAAATACAAAACTTCGTTCGCCCTGTTCCATGGCGTATAAAAGTAATAAAATAATCTAAATTATGAAGGGTCCATTTCATGACTCAGTAAAAATGCTTTGTCATAGAATTATACATTTTGCATTAATAGTCATAAGCCATTAAAGTCGTTAAGGTAAACGTGATATTTGCGGTTTAAATTTAAAGCGAAAATTTGCATTCCGGATTGGTATACAATGATGTATAGTATGTATGTTTGTATAAATATTATGTATGAGTATATGCAYATCAGTTGTATAAATAAACTGTCGCCGTTGGTTTAAAATGATTGCCACTAAAAGAGTTATCAGTGAGAAGATGGMAGAACTAATTAGAGGCATTAAGCCGCAACAGCCTCATCGACGAATGGAATGTGGCACCTCGCTTTTACACTGCGAAATGTTTTTTATGTTGACTTGAGTAATGCAATTTTGTCGGCAGCGGGATATTTCCAGGTTGTAATTTATTTAAAAACGCACATAAGCTTACACAAGTGTATATACTTGCATGTATGTAKAAGAGTTTGTAAAATCCATGCAGCGACAAGTTGACAAAAACGATTTAGAATTCTAATACCGCAACATGACACCCCATGAATGTGTAAATTTGCATCCAAATAGGATACCATAGAAATTGATTGCCTGCTCTTGCTGCTGGCTGGAAAGTTGTTAGTGTATAAGCCAAAGTAAAAACAATAACTTAGTTACTTGATGCTATTTGCGTGGGTGCTGAACCTTATGAATGAAATAATCTCACATAGATCCATATATCATACATTTATTTATTATTATTTATTCTGCGGCACCCTAACTTAGATATAGATATGTACTTTCCTATGCGCTAATGTCAATTTTTAAAACCATTGTTTTACTGCAAGTCCTTTGTTTCTATTTGAGCATTTGGTGCAGTAAAAAATGTCAAGCTTTGAAAAATATTGCAAAACAGTGCAGATATTTGCGCACTGCTAATCGGAATGTTGGCGCAATCAAATTATACATATATATGTATATACATATATAAACAAGTGTTCAAGAAATCATATGCATGAGCATACATACATATATGTACATATATGCATAATATACACGTTTGTAACTAAAGGCACGTGTATGTACAGTACACTAATTGGATTCCCTTTGCATTATGTACTCGTAGATATACCATATACTATATATATGTGCACTTGCAGCCAATATTGTAAAATATATTGACATCGCTCTATTTACCTACAGCAAATATCGTTTTTTCTATTTCCCCATACACGAGTGGATATGTACATATGTACATATGTTTCAATGTAAAGTAATCTGATTAATGGCACACCTGTAAATCCGAATTTTGATAACTATGATTTATTCAAGGCAAATTTAATCTAGAAACATGCCTTTTTGTACAAAAATACGTCTGCAGCAAGAGYTTATAATATTCAGTTTACTGTTTTTGCCTATACTTCCCTGCACTTGAGCACCACCTGTGAATTAAAAATGTAATCATAGCCTATCCTATTACTTACATGATCAGATGAGTCCGCCGCTGAGTTACGTTTGTCACCTTCGCCTGCTTTCTCTCCAGCATCGTCGCTGGCATCGTTCTCGCCTTTTCTACGTCGGACCTCAGCCATAGTTATGCCTCTACGTCAATGAACTAGTCAACACAATTAATTTATGTATTTACTTTGAGTGATTTTCACAATTAATTTTTCAGAGCACTACTGATTTTAAATGTTTCAATGTCGTCGTCGCTGATTTATATTGTATACTTTATATGTGTATATTATTAATTTCCAGAAGTTTGATGATATATATTTGCAACAATTTAGTATTGGAGCAATAAAATATGTATGTAGGTATGTTTATAGCAGTAAGTACGAGTATTGCGTGTTTTGATCCGTCCACCACTAGAAACAAATTTTCACTGAAAATTTTTCTGTTTTTCTTTCATTAAAATTTTTTTGTCATATTTTTCGACGTTTGTGTATGGATTGCCTCATTTGCGCCGTCGCCATAGACAGTAGTTTGCTTTTTATTCGTATGGTGGTTGATCTATACTTGGCATATCTACGTCTCCAGTTGTGTCCACCTGGCACCACTACCTTTACTAGCACCTTCACGGTAAATAGAGATGCTTCCTAGCATCTATTATTTGCTCTTGAAGCTAGCTGCAGAAATATTTATTTTATAAAGTTTAATGACGTGCATTGCAATTTATTTGGTACTTGATAACGAGCTTTTCMCTTGTTTTTCGCCGCCACAACAAAAATTGTTTCCAAAATACAGTGAAATGATTTTTCTAATCAATACAGAATACTAACAGAGTTGCCGGAGCTAGAATAAAAATATATTATCTTAGTGAAAACAAGCCCGAAACCGAGATATATGAATCATTGTTACACGTCATGCGTCATAYAAGCGATACCAACTATTCTGTGAAATAAACATTACATTGATAACAATTATAGCCACATAGWTCATATTTTTCATTTGTAAATAATCTATTTTGTTCATATATACATAAATTGACACGGTGTTTGGTAAATATTTTAAGAAAAAATTTTTTGCATACATAATAAGCTATTTTGAGAGAATGCTACAAAATGTTATCGATAACATTATTACATCTATGCATCAGAAATAAACAACGAGTTACTCATGATAATATGGCATCATTATCACGAAAACGAACTTGGCAGCACAGGTTGCAGCGTCTTTTTCTGTAGAGGGTTTGTTGAATCACACCGGTTTGCCTCATTTTTTGTGCAAAAATAAGAAGTGATTGAATATTTTGGTGCAAATTAAATCTATACAKTAAATATATAAGTATTACAATGGCGGCTTCATTAAATGGTGTGTTCCCGTCAACGCTGCAGGAAAATGTACAGAAATCAAAAATATTGGTTGTTGGCGCGGGTGGGATCGGTTGTGAGATACTGAAAAATTTAGTGCTTTCCGGCTTTCCTGATATCGAAATTGTAAGTTATTAGTAGATGAAATTTGGYAGAAAACTTAAATATTTGGTATTTTTTTATTAGATCGATTTAGATACCATTGACCTGAGCAATCTAAATCGCCAATTTTTGTTCCATCGTGAACATGTTGGTAAATCCAAAGCACAGGTGGCACGTGAAAGCGCATTGCAGTTTAATCCAGATGTGAATATTAAAGCGTATCATGACAGCATAATGTCGTAAGTTAAAACTCGGCTTCTAATTTTGATATCTTACTAATTTGTTTTTATTCAATTTCAGCACGGATTATGGTGTGAGTTTCTTCAAAAAGTTTGACATTGTGCTAAATGCCCTCGATAATCGTGCTGCGCGTAATCATGTTAATCGTATGTGCTTACATGCCGAGGTGCCACTGATTGAGAGTGGTACTGCTGGTTATAACGGACAAGTTGAATTGATCAAAAAAGGTTTGACACAGTGTTATGAGTGTACACCAAAGGCCAAACAAAAGACATTTCCTGGCTGCACCATACGCAACACACCATCTGAACCCATTCATTGCATAGTTTGGGCCAAACATCTTTTCAAGTAAGTCGATTTTAAATCAATCAAAGACGATTCATATTAATGTGCGTCTTTTATTTTTAGTCAATTATTCGGCGAAAGTCTAGAAGATGAAGATATATCGCCGGATATGGCCGATCCCGAAGCCAACACAGTAAATGCTGAAGAGAAGGGCGAGTGCGAGGATAAAGAAGTCACTAAAACCATACCAGAAACTGAAACGGGCAATGTTGCTCGTGTAAATACTCGACAATGGGCCAAAGATTCTAGCTACGATGCTGCCACATTATTTAACAAATTCTTCTTTGACGACATAAATTATTTGCTATCCATGGCGAATCTATGGAAAGAGCGTAGGGCACCCACACCTTTGAAATGGGACAATGTACTACTCAAACAGGATAACGGCGAAGCAGTAACTGCTGAAGGCTTGAAGGATACTACGAAACATTACCATAAAGTGTGGTCGCTGGCCGAATGTGCCACTGTATTTGCAGATTGTTTGAAGAAACTTAGTGCTAGCTTTTTAAAGCTTGATGATGGCGAGTCGTTGGTGTGGGATAAAGATGATCAGCCAGCAATGGACTTTGTTGCCGCTTGTGCAAATATACGTGCTTATATTTTCGAGATTGGGCGCAAATCACGTTTCGAAGTAAAAAGCATGGCCGGCAATATTATACCAGCTATAGCTACAACCAATGCAATAACAGCCGGTGTWGTGGTCTTGCAGACATTCAAGGTATTGCAGGGTCAACTCGATARATGCAAGTCGGTATATATGCGTTTGAGACAAAATCCACGTCAGCAGCTTTTGGTACCGGAAAAGTTCCTTACAGCACCCAATCCCAACTGTATAGTTTGTTCTTCCGAACCTGCCGTGCATATACGTATTGACACAAAACGTATGCGCATTAAGGACTTTCGCGACGAAGTTCTCATTAAAACTCTTAATATGGTTAATCCCGATGTTGTGGAGCCGAATAAGGGTATTGTGGTAATATCTTCGGAAGAAGGTGAAACGGAGTGTAATGAGGAGAAGCTCATGTCCGAAATGGGTATAGTCGATGGTGTGGTGCTCAAATGCGATGATTTCTTCCAAAACTATGAACTTGAAGTTATTGTTATACATTTTGATGCAGAACGTGATGAGGCGTTATTCGAAGTAGCATCGGATAGCAGTCAAATAAAGCAAAAGGATAGTGAACCAGCTGTGAAAGAAAGTAATGGCAAACAAGCAGCAAAATCAACTGAAGAAGATGACAGCGCAGATGGTCCATCCACATCTAAAAAGAGTCGGGCAACCGAAGTTGTGGAAGATGATGATGATGATTTATGTTTGATCGAGGATGATGAAGACGGTAATGCAGAGGAAAAAGTTGTTGCTGCGACCGATAAATTGTCTGTTACCAGTCCCGTTAAGGAGTCTCCCCCGACACTTCAAAGTGGTGTTAAGCGCAAACCCTCTGAAACGATTGATGACGACATTACCGAAATTAAAGATTCGGACGATGAGGAGGATGATGGCCCAACACAGATTAAGCGTATGCGCACAGATATCAGTAATGTTTCATCGAATGAAGTTATAAATATTGATTGAACAATTTACAATAAACATTCATCATATTCATTAAATTGCGAAATATCGATGTGTTTTTATGTTTTTGAAGTATGTTTTTTTTTTCATTTTTAAGTAAAATTAATTTATTTATAGTCATTCTTATTACAATTCTTAACATCAACAATTAAAAMGTCACTTGTACATGTGATATTTTTGTTAAAATAGTCTAGATTCTACATCCTATTAAAGCATAAAATATCTAGCACGGTATGAAAATATATTTTTTTAAGACGAAAGTGATTACAATGTTTACTTAAGAGATACACACTCACACATCTATGTTAAATTAAAATTTGGCATTATATAATTAAATATGTGTCTATAATATAACTATGATTAACTGTACTCCTCATCTGTGAATAGATATGTGTAATTTAGCACCTTTTCAGGTGCCTCAGCGGTATCACAATAGTAGCTACGCGGTGTTGGTATGCGCTGTAAACACAATGATGATGGTTTTTCAATAAAGTCGGCGTCATCGCTATTGGTAGATATTGCCTTTGGTTCAACAACACGGTAAAAGTTACAACGTCGACTACCGTATATGGGAATATTCGCATCATATGGCGGGCTAAGTATATCAAAGAATGCAGCCACGCCGCCAACGGCGGTGATTTCGTGATAATTGCGTTCAGTGGGTGTTAGCGTTGCGCATTCTGTACTAGAACTGACGAATTTCGGTTCATTTGCTTTAACACATACCTCCAAAGCCTTGGGGTCGTACAACGGTTCATTTGGTTTTAACGGCTGTTTAGTATAACTTTGCACCTTTAGCTTTCCGTAAATACCGCGTAAAAGTCCATGCATGCACGGATGATCATGCAACGGCATTGTATAGCCTTCACGCATCACAAATACACTCATGGATACAATATCATTTTCCAAAATATGCACATACGTGCACGGTGCGCGTCCAGGTTTCTTGAATAACGTTTCGAATTCCTGCGGCTCAAACTGTATGTCGAAATATGTTAAAAGCTCCGTAAGTTGCTTAAGCGTAGGGAAATTCGTATTGAAAGACGCTTTATTCGATTGATCGAATGTTTTGCAAGCTTGTCGCAAGATATTTAACAATAACATAGACATGTTTTCAACAGTTTATTTGAACAATTTCTCCAGTTGACTGAAAAGTTTTCGCACTAATAAATAATGGACGTGATTTTTCCAATATGCCAAAAATGAACATCTGTTCAATGTTGTGGTTACTTACAGTGATGCCACTCGAATTGAGTGTGTAGTGATGCCACACTGTATAGCAAAAGTTAAATTTAAAATAGCTTCGGTTTTTTTTTTAAATACCGAGTTATAAAATTGTTTCGATTTTTTTAGTGTATTCAGTGTAAATGAAGGTAATAATTATGATATCTGTAGAGGGATGGTCGGAACCGATCTCAATGTACAGTCTCTCGTCTGGGACATCATTATCCATGAACAAACCGGGGAACAAGGCYTACCGCCACTTGGGGTACTGGTAGAGGAACCTCTGTTCAGTTCATTGAGGCACTGTGTCCCTCCTCTCTATATATATGTATGTATTAACGATACTTATTTTGAACATATTTCTAGCAGATCTGTTATATAAATTAAAACCCGATATTCAAACCAGTTGTCACCCCTGTGAACAGTGAAGTTAGAAAAGCTAATTCTTTGGACAGCAGTTTTCTTTTATTTTTATTCTTTCAGTGATCCAATCCTATATAGTTTAAGTTTGGTGATCCGCTKCGGCAATTAGAATGAAAGGAATAATTCCCACGCCACTTTTCGGACTCTTCATACGCCTAACCGATCCGTACAGAGTTTGATCACCGAGATTACAGCTTTTAGCCGGAGAAAACCTGAGTCAATTTCGATACCATAGGCGGTGGAAATTGTCGGACTCTTTGAAAAATGATCTGGTTACCTTCAGGGATATTTTACTTAACATCATTTGAATGCATGGAATTTCTTCCTTTGCTGCTGTTGTGATAAACCAGTGTATGTTCCAAATACCTTTAGCCAATCGCAGTGTTTACGTATCTCACTTCCTCATGACAAAATAATTATACAATAAGCTGGTTCGATTACAGTTCTGCATATGTGTAGGTACCAATGTGTATGTGTATATACAAGTACATATGTATGTTGTCATGCCCACCATGTTGTCCATTGCCGAAAAACATGTTCTCAAACT